TGTGTAGTTAATATTTTAAACGTAGTTTCTTGGCACAATGACATGTTACAAATAAAAGTAAATCAAGAACAAACAATCTAAAAGTAAAATTCTCGTCTAAACTCATTGTTTGGGATAAATTGTCACCTTAATTTCATTATCATGGCCAAAGCAGTGAGTTTAAAAACATTTGTTTTAAAACTTAAATAAGCTGCGCTATTTGTCTCCTTTAGCTGCTCTTACACTGTCGTAGTTCTTTGTATCCAGCTTGGAATGGATTGTTCTAAAAGAAATGTTGCAGCTGTGTATTTGATCTTTTTTGCATTTTGAACTGTTTGTTATCCCTTGGACATGTTTAGAAAAACAAATTCAAAAAAATTTTATATAATTTTGATGAAAGCAGAAATAATTTAGATGAAAGCAGTAATATCACAAACATGTTTTCTCTTTATTTGGTTAATGTCTGCCATTCAACATCAGCAAGTTAAACTTTTATTGAGCATTGTCAATAGTAAAAAAAAAAAACAATTTAAAAACAAATCACACCACACTTCTAATTAACTAAATAAAATACAAAAAAATAGTTAATACAAATATTTTCCATTTTCTTTGTTGAATTTAGTGTCTCCTCATTGTTTTAGGCAGGCATGCACATTCTTCTAGGCTAGAATGGAAAAAGTTTAAATGGAAATGGCATTTTTTGATTTCTGAGCATTTGAAACATGTTTTCTCTATTTTATTAATGTCTGTCATTCAACATCAGCAAGTTTATAATTTTATTGAGCATTGTCAATAGTTAAAAAAAAAACACTTTAAAAACAAATCACACCACACTTCAAATTAACTAAATAAAATACAAAACAATAGTTATTACAAATTCTTTCTATTTTCTTTGTTGAATTTAGTGTCTCCTCATTGTTTTAGGCAGGCATACACTTCCTTCTAGCCTAGAATGGGAAAAGTTTACATAGAAATGGAATTGTTTCATTTCTGAACATTTGAAAAATAAGTATGACTATAATGCTGCATACACTCTTAAAACAGATGTATTAAAAACAACACATGATGTGTCAAATTTTAACACATGCTGAATCAGCTCAGGGACAACACATGTGTCATTTATGACACAACTAATGTCATTTATGACACAACTAATGTAATTTATGACATAAGTAATGACAGTGGGTCTCAATGTGTTACACTTATGTTGCAATTTTTTACACAATGTGTGTTAAATTTACACAAAATGTGCTTTAAATGTAATAACACATTTTTTGTGTTATTTTTTAATACATCTCTTTAAAGAGTGTAGAATAAACCAAAGCTTTCATGTGCACCATATTAGATAGCTTTTTTGTTTTTGTTCCTGCTCTTTCTTTGTTTCTTAGCTGGAATCTCAGAAGGAGTAGCAGTGACAGGTGTGCACTTGTCCGTCTTCTCAACATCATTTTGTTCCTGGCTGGATTGGCATGGATCATTTTGTTTTTGGCATGCAGTATCTTCTTTTTGCCCTGCTCCATCTTCTTTTTCCCATGGATCATCTTCTTTTTCTGAGTACAATTTGGCAACATCAGGTAGATTATTGTTGTTGTTGTGTTAGTACATTAGCATGAATCATAAAATTATTACAAAAGTGAACAGTAATGCTTACCATATTTTTGAAAATATTCTATTGACTGCAGGACATCATTATTTAGGATTTCCGCTTCCAGTTTTTGTTGAGTTTCATTTAGTTTTTCCCTTAAGTAAGTAATCTGCTGTTGATGAGCATCTGTCTGTCGTACAATACGACAGTTGTGATCATTTTGTTCGGAGAATGCCTTTCCAACTATGACATACAGCTCCTCTCTACTCACACTTGGATCTGTGCAAGCATACTGATGAGGGAAAAAAAAACATGCATTAGTGAACAAAGTCATAAATTTAAGAACAAACAGGTGTTAAATGTTGTGTTTGAATTATTTATTAGGACAACTATCAGTTATATATTCTACTTGTGAGGCTTTGGTGTGTTCCATATTAAACAGCTTGATTATTTTTATGGTTTTTGTTGTCAAGTTACACATACTGTAGGTATATTTTGAACAATGCCTGCCTGCAACTGTAAAACAAGCTTGTTGTTTGCCTTTAACAAGCCAAAGTCTGTTTGGTTGCTCAAAATATCACAAAAAACAGCAGGCTATTGGACCACATTAAAACCTTTAAATGTTCATTTATGGAACAATAATTTCTTGTTCAATAACTATATTTTTAATGACATAGTAGCTATGTTACTTATCCAAGTAAAACACAGTGTAATTCATAAAGTTCTAAATGTACACCAAATAGTAGTCAGGTACAGAAATTCCAATAGTTTAGCAGTTGATTATGATATATGTTAATTGATTGCTCAATATTAAAAATAATGCCATTTGTTTACAGTACACACTATTTCAAATTCAGTTATAAATTGTACACTTTTCTACATGGTGATAAGAACTTAACTGTGCTGATGTACAGCACTAATTATAAATTGTATGTTAAACATTAGGTATATTAAATACTACAGATAACTGGTTGTACAGATTAAGTCACTATCTCACCTTTAAATTTAAAAAAAAATAAACAAATAAAAAAATATATATCAATAGCTTTCAGGAACGTCAGTTTTATAATTCTTTGTCAAGTAAACTTACAGTTGCCAGCTGTCCAATCTGGGCAAGGTGTTGTACAGTTGGGTCGTCACATTTTTGAAATTTTATTGGTGAAAAGTTTGCCATGATCTGCAAAAAAAATAAAATAAATCAAATATAATAAAATAAAAATAATACGAAAAAACAAAACATTTACTAATTGGTGTATAATACTTAACTCAAGGGGAAAATGAATAAATTAGGCTGTCCAAACTAAGAACAAAGGAGTACTGAAAGATGTAACTTACATTTCTCTTCTGTTCTGTTTCTATATTTTGTCCTTACTGTTCCCTGTTTTTGTCTTTGCTCTGAAATGGCCTCTGTTCCACTCAAAGATTGTTTGTGACTTTAGAGAAGGCAGGACCAACCTACAGTGGGCATGTCTGTGAAAAGGTTCCTTTAATGAACTAAGGAATATTCAGGAGATAAAGCCCTCAGTTGCTGTTTTCACGGCTCATTCTACCTCTTAAGAACACCCTTTGAAGTAAACTGCCTTGTAATTGTATTTGTAGCTGCTGACCAGACATGTTGACTCCACATAAATGTTTTTCAAATTTGTGCCATGTGAATTTAGGTAGTTTTACTTCGTTTTCAACATTAGAACTGAATTTGTAGCATTCGAACAAATGTGTTACTCTTCTGAACATGTCTATTTGAAATATGATTGGTAAATTTAACTGTGTTTTTATAATAGAAATCAGAAACTGTATAAAATGTATCAATTAGTTGAAGTAACTCAGCTTGCTCTTGTACATATTAAAACCAACATTACAGACTGAGAATTAAATATCACAATTAATTATGTTTATTTGCTAAAATAAGCTCTACGGACAGCATAAAACCCTTAACTGCTGCTTAAAATTTAGACTTCCTTTACAGTGTTTTGTGTCATTCAAAGAAAAAATACAAAGAAATGTACTTGTCTATGTTATTTAGGGGATGTTGTTTTTATTCGTGATAGTGTTTTGTGAACAGTAAAGGAATGACAATAATCAATTTTTTTGTCAACCCTGATACTGCTGTAATTAGTTTTTTTTTTTTGTGTGTTATGTATTTATTTATTTATTTATTACTGTTTTTATTTAACCAGTGTTTGACCAGAAGTTCCCATTGAGATTAAAACTCTATTGTCAAGAGAGATCTGGTCAAAAGGAGAATTATGATTACAGTTGTGGAAGACTTGTCGGTAGGTGGTGGTGGTGGGGGGGCATCATCTCTCCTCCAAGAGAGTTCTTCAGCCTTCTCGGTGCCTTCACATGGTGGAGAAACAAGTTTACCTATGATCAAAACTGATGTTGATATGCAAAAGTGGACCATTTGCTGATCATTAGTGCCCTGACTGTCACCTATTGTTGAAAGTGACACATTTGCAATAACACCTTTGTAAAAGGGAGGCAGACACGGCAGAGACCTCCCAGTGCTAAACGACAGCTCACATCACATACTGCTCTCTGAACCTGCAGGGGGAGGGTGGGGCACTGTGTGCCTGTGTCAGTATTATTTTGTCTGAAGCCAGCTTTAAAAAGAGCTCAGCTGGTTTGATCCAGGTCCCAAGGTGCGTGAGCACACAGCTGGTGGCATATTTTTTTCTAAATGTAATTGATAGAAGTAATTACAACAAACATGTACAGGAGAGTAACTAAAGACAGCAGCAGAGTGAGGAAATGTGGTCAGTCATTCAGTAGTCTAAGCTTTTAGCAGCAGAACTAAGGAATAACCCAACCCTGACTATAGGATTTACCAAAAAGGAAAAGGAAAAAAGGAAAGTCTTCAGTGTAGTCTTGAGATTTAAAAAATTATCGTCAAGGGACCTGGACAAGATGAGTTGTGAACTGATCATGCAGTGGCTGTATACTCATATTTCTGTCAGAACCTAGAGAATAAACAAACTTTCCTTTAGACCTAGGATGGTTTTTGTTTGTGTTTTTGCTCCTACATGCTGCAAAGACTGTTAAAAGACTGAGTTAATGCTGCAAAGACTGAGTTATACAAAAAACCTTCACTGAAGGTTTTTTGCATACATGTCAACTTGTACGGATTGTCTGTAAGTTATAAGGATTTTATGTCATTTTGCAGGTATACGGACGTATAGAGCAATCTCATGGATTTTTTCAAGTGTTACGGTTTTTTTCAAAACCTAATTTTCAAATTTATCTAACATGTCAGAGCCTGTAGGATGATAAAAAAAACAATAAATAACATCATATAGCCATCTTCCAACCTGCTCTGCTGCTAGAAATAAGTTTTGAACATTTTTCTCTCTCCTTTCTTCCTACTTGACAGCAGGCACATTCATGTATGCAGCATGTGGGCAATTTGAATCCAAGTTTATGTCATTTGTTTTTTAATGTGAAATAAGGGAATTTGCTGTGCAATGYTGTAGACAAAATAAAAAAATTCAATCTGTTTTATTTAAGAAATTTACTTGCTACTTTAGTTTGCAAACTATTTAAACATTTTCTTCCTATGGGTTGTCTCTTTTACATTCAAGTATCTAGGAAAGAATTTGGGGGTGTACTAGAGGACTCCACCCCTTCATGACTCAGCGGTTTCAGCAGTGTCTTTACCACTTCTGTGTTTATTGGCCACCTCATTTGGGAGAACTTTCACAAGCTGTCTGTCTTATCACAGTTGTAAACTTYTTATTCTGTGTTCAAATTCAGCTTTTTTCGTTTTCATCATTTGTTTTTGTCTTAATCATTTTACATAAGTTCAAAAGGTAAGTATTCATTTTATACTGTTTTTATTCAGGTAGGTGATGAACTACAGCTATTTTTTAGATATAACAACATAGTTATTAACCAAGTTTTAGTTATTTCCAGAATGGAAAAAAAACTTTGATGCTCTAACATTTTTATATAAAATATAAGKCTTGTACCTTTGCACCTAAAAGTCTATTCAGTTTATTTTTTATACCATTGTCATGATTTCATTTTTATATATCCTACAGTTGTGTATATAATATAAATATATAGACTAACATAAATCATTTTTAGAAATGGATATCCCATTCACTATAACATAACATATATTTTAGATTGTGAGAAGAGTGTTTGTACATATTTTAATATGTTTGTAAATTTYCTGCTAAACATTTCCTGTCTTTTTAATGTGTAGATGCCTCGTGCCAAAGGTCATCGTCGTGCTCAGGCTATAAAGCGTAGAGAGGCAAATCCTCAACCCTTTGATTTGAATATTCATCTAAATGACAATCATTTTCATTCACGTAAGTTTGAAATCATTCCTCTTTATTTTAGTGGAAAGTTGTACACATACTGTACAACATAATATGTTTTTACATATCCATAAAATTCATTATTGTTATGTGTACTTTTGATTGTAATGTGCAGGATGTGGTACAGGTGAGAGACATAAACCTAGACGTTGGCCAACTTCTGCTCATACAGGCAGAATCTGCAAGTTGGCTATGCCTGCTCAGTTCACAGACAAAAAGGTAAGTAGTTTTGACTTCATTTTATAAATATATAAATAGTTTACGACTTTATATCAATACTGATGAGCTTTTGTTGTCATTGCAGTTTGTCTTGGTCATCGGTGATTCCCATCTCCGTTSTCTGRTTGATCAATTTGTTAGCATGCYTGATATGGGACACTTGAGTTTYGGTTACCTTTCTGTTCCTGGTGCTTCTGCTGAACAACTAAGGACTGAAGTCTTGAATGCAGATTTTCCTTGTACTCCTGAGGCAGTCTGTTTGTTGGCTCCAAGTAATGAACTCACTGCCAGCAAAACCATTAATGAAGCTGGGAAAAACTTTGAACGGCTGCTTACCACTGTTTGCAACCTTTGGCCTAAGGTTAGTTGATTTATAACAATGACCTTTTATCTAATAATATGAAGATTGCTAAAGTTAGTACTTTGGYTGTTTTGATAATATTGTACTAGGATTGATTTTTTTTTATCTAAACTTTGCTTCTCATAGGTGTCTGTCTTGGATTTCCCTCCAACATTAAATACCGAAATTAGTCTCCAGGATCTTTTGCGACAAGAGTTCCACAGAGTTACTGCACGAATAGGTAAGTCAGTTGCATATTACTTACATGCAGTAAATTTTGATGAGCTTGCACTTTTTTYCATAAACAGTGCACCTAAAGCTTATATACCACTGTATTTAACAAATTAAACCGTGTTAAGTACAAGWGAAATAATAATTGTATTGCCTTTATTTTTAGGTGTGAAATACTCCTCCTGTGTTGAACGCTACTCTTTAAACAGTCACAAACTGTGGAGCAGAGATGGGGTACATAAATAATTAGGGAAAAATTTATTTAATACATATATGACGAACATATATACAGTATATATATGATTCAGTTTTTGTAAAAACAACATTCCTTCTTTCTGTCTCTAGGCTCATCTCAGTGATAATTATGGCATGCCTATTTTGTCACAACACATCTGGGAAACTGCTTATTTTCTAGTAAACACTCCAGTTTCCAAGCCCCAAGATTTGTCTACAGTATCATCCTCTAGATCAAAATGTGTTCCAAAAGTGATTGTGAAAGGAGATGCTACAGTTCCACAACAGTTTAACCCCTTTGATTGGACAGACGTTACATCAAAAAATAAGGTAAAGTGTTGTTCCTATATAAATGAGAGTTTTACAAGTGCATAATATTATTTTATCTCCAGCTTTTATTAAACTTATTCAAATTCATATTTATGGGAAGATGCTTAATTGCAGTGCTTCCCAAACCTTTTCTGATGGGCACCCCTTTGGTTGATAAAAATAATTTCATGTCCCAACACACACACACACACTATGTCTCTCTATCCTTGTGGGGACTTTCCATTGACTTCCATTCATTTTTTTGAAATTTAATATCCTAACCCTGACCACAAACCTTAAAGCTAACCTCACAGGTATCTATCTACCTGACCCTAAAACTAACCTAAACTCAAGTCAGACCTTGGTCCTAAACTGACCCCCACACCCACCCACCCAACACACACACACACATACACACACACACACATACACGTTTGTTTCTTGACCCACACCCACACACACATACACATACACACACGTTTGTTTCTCGACACCCTCCACCACCACACACACACACATACATGCACATTTGTTTCTCGACCCCTCGCCCACACACACACGTTTGTTTTGTTCTTCAACCCTCCCCACACACACACATACACGTTTGTTTCTCGACCCCCACCCACACACACACATACACACACACGTTTGTTTCTCGACACCCCCCACCACCACACACACACACATACACGCACATTTGTTTCTCGACCCCTCGCCCACACACACACGTTTGTTTTGTTCTTCAACCCCCCCCCACACACACACACACACACACACACACACACACA